GAAAGCGCGCGATGCGGTGACCACCGTCTTTGTTCGATGGCCGAGCCAGAAGCCGCTGCGAGGATGACCGGAGTTCGCGTGACGGTTTATGCTCCTTGACGAGATCAGCAAGATGCTGTGGTTTATTTGTGGAAAGCACTCTGTGTGTTAATGAGTGCGACCTTATTACACCACGAGCCGTGGCTGGTATACACCAGCAAATGCGAGCAATTTGATCCGGCAGTTGGTTGCTGTTTTATTTTTATGCACACTTCCCATTTTTGTTTGGTGGTGGTGGGGGGTACTTTTACAACGGTTTTTTTTTAAGCACATTCGAACAGGAGCTCAGTATTCACCATTCCTCCTACATCGAGTTGAGGTGTGTAACGTCGCAGACGGACGGCGGGCGGCTCAGCAGTATTGTTCTCGCACCTGACGGCAAACTCCCGCTGCTCCAGAATCGATGCTGACACGGAAATGTACTTATCGGCGGCACACAAACACCAACCCTTTGGCTCTGTACACCAAAGGGTTGGTGGATCACGCAGAGAATTCGTGACACTGCCACACCGGCTGGGCTGCGAGATGGCCAGAAGATGGTAGCACAGCAAGGGTGAGCTGTCTTCCCACTCCGATGCACGGTGGGGGTTGCCTCTCAGTAAATTTGGAGGATTCCCAGCTGGCCCCTCTGTCAAGCCACTGCTGGATGCAGGCCTGTCCAGGCCGCATGGATCGTGGTAATTGCCCTGACCACGTTTCGCCACGCCAGTCAGTGTGGTTCTTCCCCGTCTGTACACAGCCAAAGGGTTGGTGCCGCAAGTCCAGCGGATTGTGGAAATACGTACTCCTTCTCATCCACCAGGAGGACCTCAATAATGTCCCTCGCCAGCACCGCCGCCGCCGCCACCGCCTGAAGTCTCGCGGGCCCTTTTGGACCCACGCAGTTGACCTTCCACAAAGCAGCTTCAGCCCCCATAACGATGAAGTTCACAAAGCCGAATGGAGTTCACAAGAAGTCACGAACGAACACCTCCTCGCGAAAGATCTGACAACGCGGAAGATCCCCGGCTTCGATCTTCTGCGCAGCTAATGGGGCCACAACCCTCAGCAGCATCCACCGCAAAAAAACCACGCCACCACCAGCAGATGCGGATACGTTGGTTCACAAACGGATTTTTTTTTTAAAACACTCCGGTCAGTGTGCGACTGTGTTCACCGCTCAGAACAGATACCATGGAACGTGTAGCGACTCAAACACCGAAGGAGGCGTCGTCAGGGCAGCGATGCACCACCCCGCTGCTCCTGAATCAATTATCTGGCTCAGCCACTTGGATGTAGCACTGCAGCCGTTGCTCTCTGCGTCAAGGGTTCGGCAACCAAAATAACAAGAAGAGCCACAACTTTTTTTTTCTCGAATCCGGTCCAATAAAAAAACCCTCAATTTCGGTATTTCAAGAGCCGCAATGCAACGTGAATACGAGACGGCGGTTCTGACAAAAATTTCGTCTCGAAGCAGTCCTTAAGTAGCCGCGTGCGACTCTGAAGCCGCGGGTTGCTGACCCTCTGCTCTCCATGAACATCAGCTGTACTGAGCAGAAGAATATTAAGGGGGTGGGGCGGCGGGGGGGGGGGTGGTGAAGGGGGAGCTCAAGATAGTGCTCCATGAAAATTAAAGTGCACCCTGGTGAATCTCATATTCTACCCAACAGGCAACAACATTTTTTGTTGAAACTCTTGTCGGGCATTTCTGGATACATAAATGTGATTGCCGTGGTATTGTAATTATGCGCTGTTATTTATTTCAACCTTAAGCAAACGGCAGTGACCAGCATGGTTTTAGTATCGTCATAATAGCAACCCGCCCTGGCCCCTGTAGCTCGCAACGTCGTGGGGAGGCTCTCATCCAGCAGTGGATCGATGATAGGGCTGCGCTTCTCACATGTACTGCATTAATTTCGTGAGAAATATCCAAATTTCAGACCGGAAAAACACAAAGTTCTCAAACCAACGGCCAGCCCGCACCCACTTCTCTGAAATAAAATGCCATTTTTTTACAAACATAGGCGTTTATAAATGCAAAATGAGTGAGTTGCGACAACTGACGATACACGTGGATTATGCGACGCTTCGCAACTTCCGTTTCGTCTTCCGGTGACTTTTCCTGCGCGGCGTTTGTAGGCTGACGCATCAAATGACAATGCCTCCGATTGAACGACAAACAGACGAGAGGGAACCGAATGGTGCTGAACTGACATGAGCTGGGGTTGGCGGATCACAATTAGATGTGGCACCTGTTTACCCGAGTATTCACCCTTGCAAAAGCGTGACCCATCATCTCCAATGACTGCTCAGCTCTTGAAGTAATGCCCTTCACGACGACTATTGGTGAAACACCCAAAAACAAATCTGCTTAGCCGTGGCAGCGCAGCAAGCGGGACATTCAAATCTCTCCGAGCGTTCAGTGTTCCTCTCCCATCGTGCACGTTTAGAGTGTTTGGCCGATATACATTTCCACGCGATAAGCCACTTCGTTGAGCTGTCACCTGTGAAGGCCAGGTCACTTCTGAAAAAGAGCTACATAGCCTTACCTGGTAACATTAAAAAATCCGTTTAGGTGAGTTTCGTAAGTGCTTTCTCCAGGTATTCCGGTTTTCTCCCACACTCGAAACACTCGTTTAGTGGGATTGACCAAACATCTCAATAAAGGACGCTGCCGGGAAGAGGCTTAAGACTCACTGAGCCTTCTCTAAACAAACAAAATGGTCATTATTATAACTGTCCATGTGTGCCGCGGCCCTTGGCAGGTTCAAGGGCAACGTCACCCGTGCAGTTGTGTGAAATGAATCATTCTCCCATCCTTTCCGCTTGCACGCGAAAGCATTATCTTTCCCCCACTAGTTAGCCGCGCAGTATTCCTCATGGACCCTGCCAGTCGTTTGCAGCAACGTTGATGTTCTTTTCGTCTTTTTTGTTGCTTTTGTTGTTGCTGCTGTTGTGCTCACCCAGCCTCGGATCCCCCGTGTGAAAAAGCCGTGCGAGCGAGCTACAAATAAAAATGAGGCGCTCGCAAACTCTTAATTTTACGGGCCCGGCCATCATCGGCCAGACAGCGCCGGTCGCACGCGTCTGGGTGCTCGCGTGGGCCCTCTGAGCGACGAGCCGCCAGCCACCTGGCACGGGTAGAGAGGGTACGAGGGCGCTGTTTGTTGTTTGGGGGGCCCCCGAGGTGGCGTGCCCGGACTTGCGACGCATGGGAGGAATGTTTGCGTGGGTCCCTTTGTTGGAGCCCCTCCCTCCATAGCAACTCCCGTGTTTGATGTGCGGGGGTCCCCCCCCCCCCCCCCCAGCCAGCCCCCTCACTCCCCCCCCCGTGCCTCCGCCGTGCGTGGTGGTGCTGAGTGAACGCCGTTCAGAGGAGCTGTAATTGTTGCATTTACGGAGTGGCACAATTTGTGCTTCGCTTCTTACATGCCTGGCTTTTTAAAACGCTGGCGAAAATGGGGGGGGGGGGGGGGGGTTAATTATTATTAATTTACGCAGCTGTATCAACCCGATACTGTTTGCCTTCCATTTCGCCCTAAAATCGGAGAATGAAACTTTTAAAAAATAAAAAAAATGTAGTGTAGGGTGCGATAAGTGATGAAAAACACGAACCCGTTGTCAAAATGTAAATGATGGGTTCACATACATTTCCGTGCTGCCGCGGCTAGGGTTACGCACATCTTGGTGACTTTAATCCTCGCACTGAGGTCGCAATTTGCTCTTCTTCTTCTTTGGCATGGCTGCCGATGTAGATGGAGAGCAACAACTACAATTTCACATTCAGGTGGTCAAGCCCAGATAACTACGTCACGAGTAGTGGAGTGGTATCGCTGTGATGTCTCCTCCGTATTTTGTGGATCGGGCAATGCGTCGTTATCCGCATGTACGGTTTGTTTTGGGTGACCACAGTCGCAACACTGGAGAGTTTCTAATTTTCCATTTGTGCATCAGATATCCGCATCTTGCCATGGTTTGTGCGGCGGATGCGGTTTACGGTTGACCATGAGCTTCGTGGAAGATCAAACCCAGGGATCTTCTGCATTGGGTCTTTCACAAGGTGTTTGTTTGTGAGTTCTTTAGAACTCCATTCAGCTCTCCAGGCTTCATCGATGATGTCTGTAGACGATTTACTGAGCGTGTGTAACGGAGATGCTTCGGCTCTCGAGACAGCTGCGAGGAAAATGAATAAATAATCGACATCGGCCATGTCCGCTTCGCATCGTTTGCATGTTTACACGCCTGATGCAAATGCAAACGTTGTAATCGACTACAACGTTTGCGTTTGCAAACGGGTTCAATCAGCCCCCTTCGTCAATGGTCTTATTTAGCCGCATCCCCGTCGCCTGCCACCACGAGCGGTGACGGGCGACCCCGCCGTCCGCCGTTGTATCGTCTGACGGGCGCGCTGCCTCGACGCCGCCGGAACCATACGTGGGCGAAGAGACGAAAGGCGTCGTGACGCCAGCGCGTGGCTATAAGCTCTGTAATTATTACATTCGTTACTCAGCACGCGCCAGTGGCGACGGCATCGCGGAGCGGCGTGGGCAAGGGAGGCCCGCGGAGGAGCGAGGAGGGGGACCACCGGACCCAGGGCAGGCGTGGACACTCGCGCGTATGCGTGCACGTGCGTGCGTGCGCGTGTGTGCGTGTGTGTGCGTGTGTGTGCACGTGTGTGTGTGTGACGCGCGAATGCGGTGGGCAGCAGTGGCACAGTGGTTAGCGCGCTGCGCTATGAACCCGGCGATCCGGTCACGGCCAACACCAGTGACGATTATCTGAACCGGTTTTGGGCCTCCCCTAGGTCGACTCAGCCTTAAATCACTGGCGAGGCGAAGGCAGTCGTCCGTGGTGCTGGTCATCCACCCCCTCGTGTGCCGTGCCGGCCTTCGTAGGTGCTAGCTATCAGCACCTGCCCCAAAAGCATGTTAAGTCTATACGGGGGATCTTTGTCTTTGTGGTGCGTGCGTGCGCACGTGCAGACGCCCTGCACGTGGACAGACCGGGCCCCTGAAAGACGCTCCAGCCTGCACCGCCGCTCGGCTTCCTGGGGCAGCGCTGACCCACGCCGAGAGGTGAGCTGTCTTCGTTAGCAGTGAATTCAGAAGTTGGGATGATTAGAGCCGAGTGTGGGAATCTCACATCCAAGCTGCCCATTTGAATATCAAAGTCTGGTGAAAGTGTCTCACCCATTGAACATGAAACGTTGGGCCAACGGATCCAGCCACGTGCCAACCTTGGCCCAACTGTTGCACGTTTGCTGGGTCTCTGCTTTAATGAGTACTGGGCAGTGCATCACCTTCATTGTGACCCTGAGCCAGCAGTGGAAATTCCGTATTCCCAGTCCCTCCAAAAGAACGCCCGCTGTCGAGTTCCCACAAAAGTGATACACTCGCTGACCAGGAATTGAACTCCCGACCTTTCCAAGTGTGAGCGAAGTGCTCTAACCACAGCGCCGTTAACCCTAAGTAATTAATCAGAATCTCTATTTATCCTGGAGAAATCCGATCAGCCATGAAGCTCTCCTTCACAGATGTCCAGTAAAATCGGGAGAGCAACCAGCCACTCGCCTCGACAGCCGAGCCTGGCATTCGCCGCACATTTTTCATTCTCTATTTACCCCCCCCCCCGCCCTCCCTAATTTCACGAGAAAATTAAAGTTTTCTCCTTGATTTTTTTTTCGTGCCGGCCCCTTGGAGGTCACTGTCGGTGCCAACAACGATGACGGTTTACATTTAATAATAAAAAAAAGCCAATTCCGCGGCGTTTTGTTTATTCCTTCAAAGTAGAATTTGCTCGTTGTGCACCGTGTTTGAAGTCGTCCCAGGCGAGCAATCGGCGGTCGGTGGAGCAGAGCGCGCAGACCTGGCACGGACATGCCCGGGCTTGTCCTTGAGTTCATTATCAAGCCCAGGGTTGTCCCAGACCGGTCGTGCGTTTATTATGACTTGCAGCCTTTTTCGAAATTTTTTAAAATAACTAAGTAGAACTTGAACACACGCTCAGCCATCGCGAAATCAAATGGACGAAACAGCCGGCTGCGGTGACGTGGCTATTAGTGCTGCTTGCCCGAGGCGCCGTGGCGGGACAGGGACGGGGTAAATCGTTGCTTGGGAGTTTTGTACTTTCTGATTCGTCACACAGCTGGAGTGTGACTTCAAGGAACAGACAACCCAAGAGACAGCTCTCATTTACCCCGGCTGCAGCGTTTCTCGGCTGTTCCCAGTCAACATTCGTCACGTGGGAGGTCGCTTCTTGTCCTCTGCTGCCCCCCCCCCGTAGTCTGAAATTCGCTTCCTCCAGCTATTCGTGCTGTAGACTCCCTGTCATTGTTCAAGTCCAAACTCAAGACCTTTCTTCGTCCATGACTGGCTGCCTCTTGCTGTAATGTAAATACGTCCGCTGTGTCCGCACACAAACGCGGTTGCATTTAAACTCTGCACGAATGCACATCGGCACGGTTGCCCACGTGCGGTGCGAAAGAAGTTCAACATATACACACATTGCATTGTATTACACGCTATATAAATCCATACCGGATTGAGTTTGAGCTTTGTAATTCGAAAATAAGTATTTAAAGCCATTGACACTCGAGCTCTAGTGCTCTAATGGCATCTCTTCATCGAATCATTATGGTACCATCACTGCAACGAACTTCGTTAAGCCACCAAATATCCTTTATTGCTGTTAATGAAGCTTCAATGCCATGTCGGAGAGCCCAGGACACAGCCAATGCACCGTGCGCGATATAAGATCCATTTGTTGAATATTTTGTTTTAAGTGGACACAGTGGGAGGCGTTTACGTCATTCAGAATGCTTTGTTCTCTTGTAAAATGCTGCGAATCGTCAACATAATGGGATGGCATAGGAGCCACCATTCACAGCTGCCACTTTCAGCACCAGGAACAGCAATCATCCGGGCAGAGCGGCACAGAGCCATCCCCTCACGCCGCCGCGTCAGTCCGTGTGACCGATGTGTCCCGTGTGTGGCCGGTGGTCTCCACTCCCTCTACAAGGTGGGGGAGGGGGAGCGGTAGGGGGAAATGTCATCCGCTGCCCTGGTGTAAATTAACAGAGCACGTGTGCGCCCACCCCACCATTAGCCTGGCGTGGAGCGTTTAGTCCGGAACTTTTGACTTTTGTGCGGGCGTGGCTGTCAGGGGCGACCGGGGCTCACTGCGTAGTGTCCGTGCGGCAGTGGCCGCGTGGCCCCTGGCGGACGATGGCCACCGCCAGGCTGGCACCGCCGAGAGCCGGGGGCTCGGGCCCTCCGGCGGGGCGCGAGGCCGTCGGTCTTTGGGCGGTCGAATACGACCGTGAATTCGATTTTGCGCTTGCGATTTGTTTTTTTAAGTCAATTGCTTTCGTAAGAATTAAACATTTCTACTTGAATGGCATGGAATGAACGTGCTTGGCAGGGTGCACATATTTCCCGACACCCGCCATTCACCACTAAGTGACTGTGACGTCACCGCGGCTGCCTATGGCAGGCGCGGTGCACTCTTGAGGCCACGTGGATTGTTGAAAGGCTCGCTGACGGGTCACGGGACAGACCCAGGTGCCATGGGTTGCCTGAGATGACTGGCATACATGTATATACACACGCAGATATGCTCCTTCGTATGGATAGAGAAGCCGACTGAAGTAACTGCAGCAATAGTTAGAAGATGTCCATCGTCTGGGGCCCTCCTCTTGACACGAACACAGGACAGTGCCCCGCTCACCACGAGCCTTCATAATTCAAACCTCTCCATCTCGTCGTGACAAGACCTCGCTAGCACGGGCGGAGTGGAATCGCCTAAAAATATTGTTACATGCCAAAAAATCCCTCACGAGAATTGTTGCGTCAGTGGCGTGGTTCTGGGCAGGGGGGGGGGGGGTGCGGAAGGTCGTGACCCCACTGCGCAGTTGGGCCCTATAAAGCTCTCTTAACGTATTCTTTGGGTCTTTCGGTAAAGCCACGTAGATAGAAAAATAATTTTAAAAATAATCAAATATCACGACATTTCGATCGCAACACACGCAATCATCATCAGGTGAAAAAAAATGGTAAAACCGGTGACATTCCAGAGGGTTGAGGTTAAAATCCCACGGGACCGGCCTACGTGATCCGGAGCGCTGAGCGCGGTTCGTGGACATTCCCGGCAGATCGTGAAACTCCGGCAGCAGCTGCAGCGTGGCAAGAGCCGGGGTGTGGGCGAGCCCGGTGTCACACCTGGAGGAGGGGGAGCAGGAGCAGGAGGAGTGGGGGGGACACGCGATGTGGTCGAGCCACCGGACAGGGCGGCCCCCCAGAGCGAGCATCACAACGCGTGGCGCGAGAACAACGGAAGCCCTGCGGCCACGCTCGGACACACGCACGTACGTACGGACACAACGCAAGAACAGACGCGCGCACGTACGGACACACGCACATACAAAGACAAAAATCCCCCATATAACATTTAACAGACTTGGGGCAAGTGCTGTTAGCGAGCACCTACGAGGGGGTGGGGAGCCAGCACCACGCCTGATCGCCTTTGTCTCCCTAGTGGCGATGTTTACACACTGCACCAGGTATTCATTTGAGGCCGACTCGACCGATGGACGGCCCAGGACCCATTCAGATAATCGTAACTGGTGTTAGCCGTGGTGGGAAATTGAAATCGGGTCGCCGGGTTCGCAGTGCAGCGCGCTAACCGCTACACCACAAAGACACACGCATACACAATGACACACGCAAGTACCTATAGCTCAGGATTTCACCACCTGGAGCATTCCCCTCTGGGGTGCTGCTTGAGCTGGGGGTGGGGAGGGTTGAGGACGAAAAAAAAACACGTGGATGGCCCTGTACTTGAGAAGGAAAACTAGAAAACTATACAGTGTTTTTTCTTAAGCCTTGGGAGTTGTTACCCCAAGTTTTGTTTTTCCTACGATACGGAGTGCTAGGTTATTAAGGTTTTCAATGATCTGAAGAGCGAGCGAGTGTTCGCGCCCACGGTGCTGAACCTAAGTCAAGTGGCGGGGGCTCTTGGGCACCACGCCACTCGACGCGGGGTTCTCGACGCCTTCAGGACGTGCGACCATGGTGGCTTCACCGTACCGCCCTCAGAATGCCTTTTTTGAAACAGCTTTCTGTTGTTGTTGTTGCTATCAATGTGCTAGTTTGCACTTCATCGGTGTCGGCGGAACATCCCATTGTTGACATTTTTGTTTCCTGAAAATGACTAATTGCAGCGTCGTGTTCCCGCTACCGCGAAAACTTGGCAGGGCCCTCTTAAAAAAGAGCCGAGACTCGGTGTGGCCTTCCTGGGTACATAAAGGTCATGAAGGTCATCCGCACCTCCGATTAGCACAGTTGGCTATATATGGTGCGAAAGAAGTTCAACATACACACATGCATTACTGTTATTGTTAATACACTAGCCTTTTGCTCGTCCAAGGACGGGTGTATTGCAGTAAATCTGAAACTTGCAAGTGAAAATCAGACCGCGACGTGATATTCATTGCATCAATTCGTGTGCAATTTGTAAGGCCGCAGTGACACAGACCTATTTCATTTAAAGGTTATAATCCCTTGTTCATCACGACGTCCTTTTTACTTTGATGTCTCAACAACAGCGTTACGGAGATCACGTGACGTGAGGGTTCTGCCTTTGTAGTGAGGGTTGTGAGTTGACGCCGAGGAGGGGGGAGGAGGCGACTCGCCCCCCCCCCCCCCCGTGGAGTGACGTTAGCCGATAATTATTATGAATGGGGGGGGGGGGATCTATAATGATTATTAATGAGGGGGGCTGTTCGATGTGGAGTGACGTCACCTGCTCATGATTATTAATGGGGGCTGGGCGACGTGGAGTGACGTCACGAGCGTTGCACACAGACATTCTTGACTCAGTATAGTCGGTAATAATAATGGGGGGGGGGTGCCCATTTGGAGGACGTCACCTGCTCATGAATATTAATGAGGGACGCTGGTCGATGTGGAGTGATTATAGTAGGTATATAGTATGGATAGCACACGTATAAGTAACGAAAAATATAATCATGTCTAGTCATTCGAGACCACAGTAGGCAGAGCAGGATCGACAGGATACCGGGCACAGCGTCCTGCAGCTGGGACAATAGTTCCTGCCAAGGATGGCACGAGGGAAGGTCGTGTGGACACAATGCCTTTGGGGGAAATCACACGACAGGAACCTTCGAATCGCGGTCACGACTTTATTCGCAGGTGTGCGCACGCCCACGGAAAATGTCCTAATTCTCATCGCACCTCCAGCCTGTGGTCAAACACAACCTGATCGGAGATCATTTTACGGGCGGTAGCGTGTGAGATTTTTTTACACGCACTGCGTTTAATCGGCAGCGGTGCAGCGTTCGATGTTTCTGAGTAGCAAGTCCTCGCGCTCGCTCGCTCGCTCTCTCTCGATCTCAAATTCACGCGAGTTTCTCCCAACGTGCCGTGGTGGAGCAGTTGGCACACCGGACTTGCGAACCAGGGGTCACCGGTGCAACCTTCTGGCATGGCAGGTTTCTTATATCCCTCCCCCCACCTCTGTCCCCCCAGCGGTGTAAATGGGTTAGTCAATCGTCCAAGGCGTCTGGCCAGTGCGGAGGAGTCGGCTAAAATAACCCTCTCGAGTTGGCCCTTCCGCAAGCAGTGGGGCCAGCGAGCGGTTGCAGGGCCTGCGCCTCCCCCCCACGTCGCGATGTATCGCCCCTCCGAGCCGGCGCCGTTGGCGACGGGGAATGATTTTTCTCTCGGCTCGGCGGGCGGTGCCGTCTCCGCGCTCTGATTAATTTCCACTCCCGGAACGGAGCCCGGGGCCCCCATTGAATCGCGCGTCGCCAGCAGCGAGCCCCCAGCTTCTTTGTATCCCGGCGACCGGCAGCCTCGGGGGTGTTGTGAGGAGGGAGGAGGTGCCAGGATCGAGGGCAAGGGGGGAAGGAAGAGGGGTGAGGTGGCGATGCTACTCCCTGACCACAGCCAAGGGACGCTTGGAAGCAGAGCCGGATTTAGGAGGGGCAAACGGGATATTAGTCCAGGGCCCATGACTCCAGAGAGACCCACGGGAAAGAAAAAAAAGTACAATACATTTTTATTTTAAGATCTAATGGGTTGGTCATTTTTGCATGTGTCCGTGTGTGTAACGGGAGGAGCGAAGGACAGCCCCGTTGGGTGGGGGGGGGGGGGGCTGGAGGGGGCAGAGCCCCCCACTGCCAAAAAAGGCTTCATAGCTCATCAGATTTCTCCAGTATAAATAAATATTCTGATTCTGATTAGCCCCCCCCCTTCTAAATTCTTAAGGATTCAAGCGTGTTTAAAGTTTGAAAGTTTGACTTAATTGACTTTGTCGTGCCACACGCGGTTCTGTATGCACCCCGTTTAACGAAGGTCATGCAGCAGGGTCGAGAGAGGAGCGGCGGGGGGGGGTGGTGGATTCTGCTCTGGTACCCCAGGGGCAAAGATGGATCCGGCCCTGGATCCGGCCCTGATTGTTACGCATGGCCTCCTTAAGGACCCTGGTAGCAGATGCCAGTGGCAGGGCCGCGTCCGTGGACGAGATGCAGGGCAGATAGAGCCGGGGGGGGGGGAGGGGAGGGTGGTGTGTGTGAGAACGACAACACACTCGGCGGCGGAGAGAGTTGTGGCATCAGTGGCAATGGTCGCGGTGACCTCTTTAACTCGGGCCCCGAGTGCCGCCCCACCCCACGTGGGGAGCGGCCTCTGAATGGGGGACGCACGAGTTGGGGGGGGGGGGTGGGGGCGCCGTCCCCCCCCCGCCTCCACCTCTCCCACCCAATGCCACCCCCAAGAGGATCTCCACCGCAGCCACCGCCGAGGTGGACGGACACTGTTGGCTGTGCCGCAGTCGAAGGCTGCGGGGCTGGTGGGTGGAGCGGTGGTTGGCGCGGTGCCCTACCGAACCCGGCGACCCGACCTTGATTCCAACCGCAGGATATCAGAAACAGAATCTCTATTTAGACTGGAGGAATCCGATAGGCTGCGAAGCTCTCTCATCATGGATGTCCAGATTCTGGTGGAGAATGATAGTCCCCAGTCCATACATCAGTGTGAAGTATGGTCAAACAACACTAACGATCGACATGGCGTGGAAAGGCCTTCGTCCGGCAGTGTATTGACAAAGGTGGCTGTACACTTGCCAGCAAGGCTGCGGGTGACTGCATACCCCAATTGCCAGAGGCAGTTTCCTCCGCATTATCAGATGCTCAAAAACGTTTTCTGGGCTGCTGGCTTGTTGTTTTTAATGCAATCACCGGGGGTCGGTAAACGCCGTGGAGAACGGCGCCAAGCAGGGCTGGAGGGAGGGGGGTCACAAGTCAGCTCGCCTACGGACAGGAGTCGAACTCAGGTTAACGGGTTTGATCGTGCGGTGCAGTAGCCACTGCGCCACTGCTTTCCCCCACGCCAGGCGGGCTACGAGAGTTGAAAAACTAAATGCAGACCACATGTGTTGCAACGTATTCGATTTCGCGAAACTATCTGTTACTTACTCTCCAATTACGTGCATTAACCTGTGTGTAGCCAGGTTAATGCACGTAATGTGTATTCTGTTCAAAGCCAAGGCCTATAGTATATCGTACGTTGATATTTATACTAAAATACCAACAAAATCCATAATAAAATGTTTTTTTGTTAGATCGCATAAATATAAATGTGTCATTAACCCGCCACCACCCGACACAGCCGAATTAGTAAGGTTTGTCACGTGAACGTGCCAGTTAGTGACTACTTCAGCACACCGGTTGTGTGTTCGAGAGTAAACCCACAACATTTACAATTCGAGTACGACGTTTCGCTGGTGATTACAACCAGCCCTATCAGGCGATTTGCCAGAATTGTGAAGAATAAAAATAAATAAAATGTCAAGACTAATGAAGGAGTGGCATCAAAAGGAGGGAACGACAATCCATCTGGCTCCTACACATGCGATCAACTCGCGTGCAGGCACTCGATGATTCGTTGCATTTCGAGACCATGAGAGATGGCGACGGCTAGCGGAGGCCTTCATCCAGCCGTGGATAGATAATCTCGCTCCCGGATGCGCGAGTCGATATCATCTCCCCATCTCCACTGTGGGCATCCTCTCTGGCCTGTTCTCCCATTTGGCTGCCTCTCAGTCCTTAGTCTTGATGAACAAGAGAAAAACAATATATATATCTTTCTGGTGTAAACTTTGAGAGTGTTCGCAGGCTGTTTGCACATGCAGGTGATACTCTTCTACATTGGTAATAGCCTTTGTGGTCCCGTCGCTAGAAGGCACTACGATCGCATGTAGCCTCCCTCCACGTTTAGAAACACGCGTTTGGATTATTTAGATTCATTGGCTGCTGTGATTTTTCACATGATAAGCCACTTCGTCGAGCTATAAATATAATTTGTGGCCCGGTCATTTCTGAAACAGACGCTAATAGCTCAGTTGGCTTTAGCTGGTAAAATAAAAATAAGTTTTTGTTGTGATTTGCTTACCTTTCCTATACTTTGCACTCCTATCGCGTCTTTGTATTGTTTGTTGTTTTAACTTCCTGACCCGCCCCGACTGGACACCTGCGAAACAGAACGCCATCGCTCCTCGGATTCCTCCAGCATAAATAAAGATTCCAAATCCACAAACAGTGTCGTATAGAGCCGCGCGATTCGTGACAAACTCCCTCCCCTCCCTTCTGCAGGCGTCGTGGCCACGGCGCGACTCGATCCCCGTGTCCTCCGTGCCGCTGGGCCGCTGGGGCCTGGCCTGGCTGCGGGGCAGCCTCGAGGGCCTCAACCAGGAGCTGGAGGGCGTCTTCCTGCACAACGAGGACACGGACCGTGCACGCCGACAGGTAACGGAGCGGCGCACGACCTCGACCCGCCGCGGCCAGGTTCAGAGACCCTCCGATCTTGCGACACCACAGTGCAAAAGACGACGCTCCCCCTCCCCCCATTACAGCAATTCATAAGCAGTTAATAGTGTAGTAAAGGATAGAATTGTTTATATTCGCATGGAAAGTTAAATGTGAATAAACAAGCCTACTCTTTGCAATGTTTTTTTGTCTACTGTGGGCCCCTCTGGCATATTAGGCCCTGGGGAAATTTCTCATTTGCCCTTTCGCACCGTACGTAGCCAACCATGCTAATCGGAAGTGCGCCCATCGCAATATCAAGCGATGTGCCGGACGCGTCACTGCGATGCTTGTACGGCTTAATCGATTTCAGCCGGGTCGGCAAACATTTTTCCCGGCACACCACATACGGAACATCTCCCATCGCTACCAGCAACGTGGCAATTATTGAAAAACGAAGCCCTGTGCAGGGGCATATTCGGCAGCGTCCCGAGGAGCTAAGGGTTCGAGCCTCGAGCGCAACAACAGAGGCATCGACACCGGGAGCCGACCTGCCCACTCTGCAGCATCGCTGCACGGCGGTTTTCTCTCGCATCCCAACATGCAGTTGAGATCTACAAACGATGGGAAAACCCATCACGAACAGAAACATCCGAACCTATGCTCCCTGCCTTCACCAACACGCACAGGCTGGTGCGTTGGTGAAGTACGGTCAAATCGCGCATCACGGTGTGTGGGATGGCCCTCACCCGACAAGCGGATCGACAAAGCGGGCGGCGCGCCGTACTGGCACGTGCGGGCGCAAAGTGTCCGCGTCCACGCCCGCGCGGGCTTTAAGAATGCGAGGCCTGTCGTGGCGTCAATCTCAGGAACGGTTGAACGTGACGTTCGAGTCGAGGGCCGCGAGCGACTCGGCGACGCCGCTCGGGACCTTCGCCTCTCGCCTCGCAGCAGGGCGGCTGCTTGGTGAAAATTCCTTCGCAGCTGTGGGAATTGAACCTCTGCCTCCGGCGCAATTGGGGCCCGTCGAGTCGCCGCGCGCGTCAACTGGCGGGGCGTGATCGAGAGCGGAGAGTGCGTGTGTTTGCGTGGGAGGAGGATTAGCCCTTGGAAGCAACGTTTAGGAAAATCCTGGCTTAGGGGGGCACAGTACAGCGCCTGTCGGGATCAGGTGTGTGATTTATAAGTAAGCGGAGCTTAACTGCATCCCTTTCATGACAACAACAAACAAACAAAAACAGCGCCCCGTTCTGAATTAAATTGCCACAAAGCGACCATCCGCCACATGCTTCGCGGCTTGCGGCGATGTTCGCGTTGATGAAAAGTTTCGCAGCATCAATCGTCGTCGTCGTCATCACAACTGCCACATTTTCATCAAGATGCCGCGCTGCTTCAAAAATGGCACGTGCTATAAAAGCTCGCGCGGTAATCCATCGCGGGATTGCGGAGGTGCGAATCCGTCTTCACGCTAAATGAATGGCGGCGAACACACGGCGGCAGTGATCTCCTGTCTTGATGGGGGGTTTTTTTTTGGGGGGGGGGGAAGCGTACGGGGGACGTGTGTTACCACACGTCCCCGTACGCTTGGATCTGAAGTGTCTAATTTACGTGCCCACTCTAGAATATTTTTTTCACAATCTTCTCCAGCGTTGTAGTGAGTGTCCCGTTGCTTCCCCCCCCCCCCCCCCACATCATACGAATGGCTTTTCGTGGCAAACACGCTGCCGTTGTCTGTGAATTCTACATCCATATATATCCATCGGGCAGTCGATGTGAATTGTCGTGTGAGAATATGAATCCGCAAATAGGGCCACATTGAAACGTGTGGAGTGCAACGGGTCAGCGCTCCCAACGTTCTAAATGGGGAATGAATCCGATGCTTCGCCGGCCCCTGTACGGGTCACTTGACACGATTCGAGGTCACAGATTCCATTCAAGGTTTGATTCTCCTCCATCTTGTTCATATTCACTGTGCCGTGTGCATTTGCCTCTTCGGGTTTACTAGCCGAAAGGTTAAATTTGCATAAGATTTGTGTGTAGTGTTCGTTATATGAAAATTGTATGCAAATAGCACGGTTGGCTACGTACGGTGTGAATGAAGATCAACATACATACGTATAACTGTAAATGAATAGACCTTACACGCCTGATTCGATGCACTCGTCGTGAGCATACCAATTTATTTTCATCAATAGTGAAAACATTCAATACACGGAGCACGTGTTGAAAGTGATAACGCTACGCGTTGCATTGCTTACGGAGCCATTTCTGAAGACAACCTCAGTCACACCCTTCGATTTGGGGACTGTGATTGTGATGACGCATTTCAGGTGTGGCTCACAAGTCACTGAAGGGCCCGGGGTGGGGGAGTAAAGCAATGAGCAGCACGTGGCTGCACCACCAACCCTCCGTGCACGCGTGCGTTCGCGAGTCTATCGCTCCAAACCCCCAAATCCCAGCTGAGCCCCAGCTGCTGCGAAAATCTGCTCCATAATGTGCTTCTGATGGCGTGTATTTGTCTTTTAAAATTGCTTGGATTAAGCGGGAATTGGAAGCCCTGTCTGATTTTTTTTTGCTTGAAAGAGAAACCAGATTGCGATCGATCGCCAATGTGGCTCAGTGTCCTGACCTTGCCCTCTTCCTCCGGGAAGGTCCTCAAGTGGGTAACGACAACGTGAATGCCCGCTCCATCACAGACGAGGGGTCATGGTGGGAAGCGCCTCGACGCCCGGCCGTCGGCTATTTAATTACGAATCGTTTTTTTACGGCTGCGGAGGTTGCAGCAGTCGAGCTACACTGTCTTTTCCGCCGCGTGTTGTTTGGAACGTTTTCCGACGTTTCGTTCCAAGTTCTAAGGAACTTTCAGTTGCTGAAGAAACTGAAGCGGAACACCGGGACACCATGACGACAAACACGTGGCACGACCCAAAAAGACTTTGGAGAAAGAACCGGTCTGCCCTTGCGAGAGATTCTTGGATTCTTGTGAGACCCCTTGGCAGACGCGTGTGACAGAGCCCTCCCCCCTTCCCTCCCCGTAGTTACAGAACGCGCCGGACGGCCACCGGGCCCCGCTGCCATGCCCCCCCGGGCGGAGCAGCGCCACTCGCACCGTGGACACGCAGACGCCCCCCGTGCCGGCACGGAGGGACGCACGCACCCCTGGCTCGCCGGAGCGTGGGGGCCCGCGGGACCGGGCCGCGACCGTCCACGGCGGCTCCGGCGGCGCGACCCGCCCGGCGGACGCGGCGGCAGCGCCCGCCGCGTCGCCCTCGCGGCGGGCGGACGACGGCGGCGTCGCCGGTGCCGAGGCCGCGGCCAAACGACGGAGCGCGGCGGCGGTGGCGGCGCTCGGTTCTGCGGAAGGGCCCGAGTCCCCCCCGTGTCTGGCGCGGCCGGCGCCGCTGCAGCCCGACGGGCGGTCGCCGTTCGTCTGCGTCTGCGTGGAGGCGGAGGCCGTGCCGACGCCGCTGCCGTCGTCCGGGGGCCCCGGCGCAAGCGACGGGCCGCACGGGGGTGAGCGGGCACGCGGGGGCGAGTGGGCGGGCACGCGGGGGCGAGTGGGTGGGCACGCGGGGGCGAGTGGGCGGGCACGCGGGGGCGAGTGGGCGGGCACGCGGGGTCACGCCCGTGGCGAGCGGAGTAGACGTGCGGCTCCAGCACGATCGGTGGGATCTCGCAGGGGCGAGCGTTCCCTTCCTTTCTCTGTTTCAATGCAAAGTAGAACACAATGCGGATGTATACAAAGCATTGAAATGCAAGGGACAGTAACGGTGGGATTGTGCATCATTAGGGAGTTCAAGGCTTTCCCATTGGAGCTCCCGACGAGTTTCAGTGTTCATTGACCGACTGGTGGTCTGCTAATTGTGCGACCTTGCACCTGCTGCTGATGCAAGGGCATCTACGAGATCAAACCCTAGTGCGCAGTTGGTCGACCTCATCAATGCCGACCAGACGTGGGAATACCTACACCTCACCCTACCATGTACCCATTAATACCGCCGGATGGAGAGAGGGGCGGGGAGATTTGAGAATAGCCCCACAGTGTACATTGCCACTCCAGTGAGGCACATGAAATCCACACCACCCACAGCTCCCCCTTCTTGTTATTCCCTCTCTGCGAGCGCCGAACCCAGCGGCGTCGTCCCGCTTGGTCCCCTTTGACCCGACCGCTCTTCCCACGTAGCGGTGGCCGCGAGCGGAGCGGCGGTGGCGGTCGCGGCGGTGGACGGGGCCTTCTTCCTGCCCAAGCTCATCTCGGCGCCGCGCGCCGGCCGCAGCTCGACCTTCCCTAAGCCGGTGCGCGCGGCGCGGGGGCCCGAGGACCGGCCGGCCCCCGAGGGCAGAGAGGGCAGCCCGGTGGGCAGCTGCAACCTCGAGGAGCTCTCCACTCAGTGAGTCCTGCATTCTTCCCAGACCCCCGTTTCACCGCCAACCCCCCCCCCGCTCACCGCCACCCAATCATCATCTTGGTCCTGTGTGGCGCTGCCTGGTCTAGATCCGGATCATCCACTGGGTGTCAGAAATATTTCTCAAACGATCGAAAAACCTGTTTGTCCTCGCCGCAATGCAAGATGCTCATTGGTGGGGATGGCTAAACATCCCAGCGCAGGTAAAAGGTAAAAAAAGGGGGAGATAGGTGCAGCTACCCGCAGTTGCTCGCTCACGCCACTGCTGGTGGAAGGGGCTCCACTGTCAGGAACGGGAGCTCTCAAGAGCCCCTCTGGGAGGGTATTTTGGCCTCCGCGCTGGCCACACATCTGTGGTGTTCATATTCATATAGCCGGGTGGACAGAGGCAGGGGGGCATTGATAAACATGCACCGTCAATCGGCGGCAACCTCTCAATGTGCAAGTCCGGTGTGGTAACCGTGACACCACAACAGCACCCCTCCCTCCCTTCCAACCTAGGACCCTCCTGAAAAAATAGTCGTCATTTCCCAGGATAAACAAAGGGGCATCATTAATATCATTATTATTATTATTATTCCTACTACCACATCCGAGCTTATCGCCACTCGGTGGCTCCGTGGATTTTATAGTAATTATAATCACGTGCTCTATTTATTGCCGATGTCACACCCAGTTTAATGACATGGCGGTCACATAGCCCCGGGGTCATTTGGCCACGTCTTCACATGCTGATGCGAGCCGCCGAGTGGTCGTGCCAACATCACCGTCGCCCCGGCACGACGCAGTTTCCTCGGAAGCCGCGTGAAGGTTCTCCTCCGTCGCGGCAGAAAACAAAACTCTCAGAAGATCCGTCCCAGGGGCCACCTCGTTACCAAAAAAAGGGGCTTTTAAACAGAGAAGACGGAAGGTCTCTCATCCAGCCTCAAACAGATGTGTTGGGGCGAGCGCCTATTCAGGCCGTAACAACGCGCGAGGAGGGGGTGGGGTGGTGTGGCCGTTGTCTCCCCGTTGCCGATGTCGAAGCTCGCAAGGTGCTGCTGTGGATTTTCCTTTTCAAATTGTCCGCTTTCGTATTTATGCTACGAATCTTGCACCTCCGATTGGCATGGTTGGCTATGTACTCTGCGAAAAAAGTTCAACACGCACATTCATTTTTCTGTATCCAGATTTAACCCCCCCACCTCCCCCACTACTCCCACCACTCCCACCACTCCAGGGTCACCGCTGCACCCGTTGAAAAATGTAGCTCAATAGGCCCTACCCCAGGTGAACAAAAATTACTCAAATCAACTGAACCTTACGTTTGCACACTGTACTGACTGGGTGGACTAAAAAGATAAAGACAAAGATCCCCCGTGTAGCCTTAACAGACTGTAGAGGCAAGTGCTGTTAGCAAGCACCTATGAAGGCCAGAACGGTACACGAGGGGGTGGGTGGCCAGCACCACGCCCGACCGCCTTTGTCTCCCCAGTGGCGATGTTTACACACTGCACGAGGTACCAATTTGAGGCTGAGTCGACCTAGGGGAGGCCCAGGACCGGTTCAGATAATCGTCACTGGTGTTGGCCGTGAGTGGGAATCGAACCTGGGTCGCCGGGTTCATACCACAACGTGCTAACCGCTACACTACCGCTCCCCTACACACACACGTACACGTACACACACGAGGAACAATTCAGGTGGAGGTGTCTTTTCGGGCCCCACCACAATATGGATTATCAGTTATCCGGCGCGGGCAGTAAGTAACAACTCAGGTTGCATTGGAATCGACGAGATTAGTACCGTCTGTTCTCCTAGAACGCCGCGTGTTGTTTTTATAATGCGAATTGGATATAACACGATCGAGTGAACAGAACTAAGCCGCGCGAGTAGGAATAAGCGGTCGTACGGCTGCCTCGGCGTAGCATCGCACAAGGCGGGATGCTGCTGGATGCTTCTAGATGCTACTCACGCGTCTCAGTCTTTGTTAAGCCTGCATACGCATCGCACGTGTTATCACGGACTGTGCTTTACCCCATATTATATATTACTTCTTATGCCATTTTTTTTATTCTTGAGGAACGCAACTACCGCGTTATGGAACAGACTGCACATGGGGAAAACACCGAGGCATGGGAGAGCGCGCAGAGGACGTTTTTAAGAACTGCGTCGTATCTGTGGCTCTCAGCACACGGCGTGCGGGCCCGTACACGTGTGCTTACGGTTTACACTTCCCCGCAGGCGGTTACACGTGCCACCGAGCCATCGTAGCTAGCCACCGTTACAATGGGGGCGGAGGGGGGGACGTGCCGCTGGATAAGAGGCGCCGGGCAGGTAACGGAGGTCTGCGCTGGCGCTCGGCCTCCTTTCAGCTGCATGGCAACGCTCCCCCCTCCTTCCTCCCCCTCTCCACCGTTCGTAATTTCAACATCGATGGAAAGAGCCCAGGAGGGCCGTGGCTCCCGGGCTTCCACACCCATGCACCGGCACACCCCTTCATTCCACACACCCCCCCCCCCTATCCACCCACTCTCGTTACTTTTACATTTGAATGTTTGCTCATTACAAGTGTTTGGGCAGTCCCATTTATTATTATTACTACTTTCGACCGAAGCTCATTGCTATTTCAGTGACCACCACCTGAACATTAGTCACCATCTGCTTTTTTTAAAAGTTGAATGTTATGCTGGCTGTAGAAAAGCCAAAGTTGTAATTTCCTACCACTCCTGCCGGCGGTGGCGGTGGTGCGAGTTGGACAGAGGGCCCCGATGCCCAGGCGCGCGTTTCTTGAAATGCGGGGTAGCGATGGCTCGGGTGGTGCCAGGTTTCCAGTGGCCGCGAGCTTCCTGTGGTGGCAGCAGCCACCTCCTTGCCAGTCGTGCGGCACGGTTCTCAGAAACGTACAAAAAAAGGGAGGAATTTTCTTTTGGACTGTTTACATTTGCTTTTTGTGTATGTGAATAATGTGAGTCACTTGGGTTCTTCCGTTTGTTTTGAGCAACCGAACAGAATGGAAAACCGTTTGCAAGAAACCCGAATCAACAGTCAGCCAAATATAAGCGAGGCGTTTCACTGCATCACCTCCGGAGTGTTTTACTTTGAAATGGAAAAAATTATATTTTGAGCTTTCGTCCAAATACTTCCAACAATCCCCCCCCCCCTCCCACAATGTGTCTATCAGCTGAACGCAACCCTCATACCTGGGCATCTTTTTCATTTCAGGTTTGGCGGAACCGTGACAATTAGTTCTCCGGACAAGAACAAAGTCAACTTCATCCCCAACAGCAATTCTGCCTTCATCTCCATTCGGAGCATCAGATGTGCGTCACTGAGCTGCCTCGAGGGCACGTCGGAAGCCGACTGGGGGCCACCCTCCTCCTGCCGCACCTTGGTGATGGACAGAGACACGTTGCTGACCAAACCGGCGCACATCAGCAGAGGACAGGCAGCCCCCGGATTAGCCGGTGGGTGGCCCGAGTCTCGGAACAGCGGCGCCGCTTGCCCGTCGGCAAACCGAACAGGAACCCCCCCGGAGAGCCGCGAGCCGCAGACCGCCGCGGCTCCCGGCGGCGCCGGCGCCGCCGCCGCCGCCCGGCCGCCCGACCTAACGGCGAGTCCGAAGCCGAGCTCGCAGGGACCACCGAGCGGCGTCGTCGGCCTGCTGGGACCGCCGCAAAACGACGGAGAGCGAGGACGGCCCCAGGCGGGCGCGGCGATGCCGCCGCAGACGCACCCGGTGCTCTGCTAGTTCGGCCGCTGTTCGCGGCGCGTACGGAACGGCGGGTGCAGCGCGTGACGTACTTCACACGATACGGTTCACTTCCTACAAATGTACTCACGAGCCGGTCAGGGACGCGTTACCGCTTGCCCCTCTTCGCTGTGAAGAACGTTTGCACGAGAGCAGTTTGAATTTTACGCGTGGGCCAAAATTTGAACGGAGACTTGCGTAGAGTTCTCAGCAATTACTCGGATTGACATCATTTACATAACCAACTGCTTCGCGCAGCAAGCACTCCTTTGATTTGCGCATGGCTGGAATCGTCGTTGTAATAAAAATAAACCCAGCTCGCTCTGCGAACATAACAAGCACACTTATCCGTGAACGAATTGTAAATCGCAGAACGCATCCTCCGCGACTCCCCTCGTGGACGTCAAATCCCAACAAGCCGAGGGAGGGCAGCTTGCAACCGGGGCCCCCTCCCCCGTGTCGGTCGAGGGGGACAGACGCGAGACCCCTGTGCATCCTTCCCCCCCCGCAACGGGCTGCCCGATTTTTTGTTGTTGTTGCGAGGGTTGGGCCGACGAAAAGGTCCGGCGGTCAAGTAGCAAAACAGAAATATCTTTTTGAACCAGTCGACGTCCACCACCACCCCCCCCCCGACCTCGTGATTTAAAAACGTGCAGCCCCGTCCATCTGCGCAGACGCCCTGTGTTTTGTTGAACCAGTGCCAAATAAATACAACCCTTATTTTTCGTTTTTGGAGCTCGAGGCAGAATGCTCTCCGATCGTCAACGTGTTTTCACGGCAGGCAACACGAATTTAGGTGGTTCTGCAGTACCTCATATGTATTTACGTATTTTTAATCCCTCGATATACATGGTATTTGTGAGTGTTACAGAGTGTTCGATACTTTTAAACGAAAGCGGACGTCTCAAATGATTAATGTAATGAATCAATCGGCCGCGTTATCGATCGTTTAAAAAAAAAGCGACCTGGTATTCTCCTTAAACATAACGGCTAAGACTCAGGAAAGTTTAGTTTTTTTGTGTCAAATTTGTCTTGCGGCAATAGCTCAACTGCAAAGTCCCGCTTCGACAGCTTTTGCCCTGCGTAATTTTGCTTTTGTACGCTGTCGCTATCATTCGCGCGCCCTTGCCCAAACCTCCCTCTGGCGTGTGGCGTTGGTACCGTTCACACGCGCGCCAACACTCACCACCCAACCACCACAACCCAACCACCAACACCCTTGTCCAGAAATTGCACAAGTACTACTGTATCTACTGTACATTCCCTTTTTTCACATTTCCTGTTTGCAGTGGTTGATTATTTAAAATAAACAATGTAACAATTAGCGAGTGGCCGTCTCGTCTCAAAACGTCGCTGCTGCTGCTGCTACCACCCAGCCGCCCACCGACCCCACCGCGGGCGCGTGGTTGTTGATATTCTTCCGCGGCTTCCTGAGACCCACGCCGACGAGCCGACTCTGGAGCCGGCTTCACGAGACAAGAGCCACCGTGAGATCACGACGCGGCTCTCGACCCTTTTCCTCCTGCCATGTCTATTTTTGTTGGATCAACAACAACAACAAAAAAGCACGAAATCTCCCGCCGCGCCGGAACGCGCTTTGGATAAATTCAGCGCAAAGACAAAGATCCCCCCGTATAGCTTTACCAGACTGCTGGGGCAAGTGCTGTTAGCGGGCACCTATGAAGGCCGGCACGGCACACGAGAGGGTGGGTGGCCAGCACCACGCCCGGCCGCCTTTGTCTCCCTCATGGTTATGTTTACTGCACACCGCACCAGGTACTCATGTGAGGCAGAGTCGACCTAGGGGAAAGCCCAGGACCGGTGCAGATAATCGTCACTGGTGTCAGCCGTGAACGGGAATCGAACTCGGGCCGCCAAGTTCGTAGTACAGCGCGCTAACCGCTCCACCACCGCTCCCCACACGCACAACCTCTCATTACGCCCCAAAAGTGAACCACAGCCCCAATCAATATTCCGGAATGGGCCTAACGTCATCTGCACCATGTCCCCATTAGCGGTCGACTAAGCAAAAAAAACACATGTACGCACAAAAGCCAAACACCTGATCAATATTAAAGCCAAAAAGGACATTTGGAGAGAAAAAACTAAAATACTAACTTCAACTCGCACTAAATTATTGCAGTCTTACATTTCCAAATGCAGAAATGAATTTCTGATCTTCGTTTGAGAAATATTTTTGCATTGCAAAGGTCAATACGACATTTGGCTAATGACTTTTTGACTAAAATGTACGGGAATGTGATTCTTTGCCAATAAACCAGGAAGGCGTCATAACCGTAAATGCATTACATCAATATCTCACAACTCAATTAAGATGGAATAACCAAATTATTATTTGACGGCACAATCATGCCATGCTTTGGACCAAGGTTCTTCCAACTGACCGTGAGGGGGCCACATCTGGCTCACGAAGGCTCTTGCAGTGGCCAGCCAAAGCTATGGGCTGCCAAGCTATGGCTCGCTTAGGCCTAGAGATACAGATTCGCGAGACGAAAGAGAGAGAAACAACTGATGAATGAAACAGGAGACCAGAGGTAGATTAGTGCTCATGTGATTACAAGTTGTCATGATGCATGTTAAACTTATTTCGCACCATACGTAACCAACCGTGCTAATCGGAGGTGCTTGTGACCCATCCACCTCTGTGCATGTAACACGGTGACATCACGCGACATGCAAAAACGCAACCTGGTTGTTATGTGGACCGCTGAAGACTCCTGCTTAAGACAAAAACATGAAATTGAACTTAAACCACTGGTACATCTGAATGGCGGAGGACAGAACGACGTTTCAAGGAGTGTGGTTCTTCCAAATTTTGGAGTGCGCTAAGCCTAAATGCTCCGGGGCACCATGCAACGACCAGGAACAGAATCAAACAAAATCTTGACACCATTCCAAGCGCTTTATTCGACGAGCATCTCCAAGACAACAAAACACGGATCAGCGAGAAGGACGAGCCGTCGGCACGACAGCGACGTGGCAGGCAAACAGCCACGGTGCCCAACACATCGCTTGGCACAAGAACTAGGGCTGGCATCGTGCGCACATGAAACTCAGAGGGGAGGTTCGTTAAAAAAAGAGACATGCTTTGTTTTTTTTTCTCTCTCTCCTAAGGCCACGGAATTATTATTATTATTATTTTCGTTCCACAATACGGGGGGGGAGGGGAGGGGGGGAGAAAGAACCCGCGTAGGGAGGTAATTAAATTAAATGGCACGTGCGCGGGAGACACGCAGAACGTTCGGTAAAAAAAGTGAAGGTCGCGTCACTGAATGCAGCCCCCCCCCGTCCCATGTCCCCCACCCCCCCCCCAATTGAGAGTTGTCAAGACGTCCCTTTACTTGAGGTTTTAACTTTAGAGTATCACCCGAACGCCCGTATGTAAAATGCAAAGTGACATTTTCCAGTTGTAAAAATAGCAAAAGCCCTTCCATCGTGGAATTTGAAGCAAAACTAAAATCCGACTTACGTTACAGTGTATAGCGGGCTCACGGTGACCCCCAAATAATGCCTACAGAGTTAAAATAATTACACTTCCTCGACCATTGTATAACCGCTCCACAACATTTCTAACAAGTACTTAAATGAAAGTACAACCGTTATTTATCCAGGTGATAGGCTATTATGATTGCGATGAAGAACCGGCAATTATAATGCACTCCGACGAATTAGGATACAGGCGCAGCCCTGCAAGTGCTCGCTCACGCCACTGCTGACGGAAGGACCGACACCAGGGGGAGCTTTAGAGAGCCCCTCCAGAGGGTACGGTATCTGGCCTGTAGTTTCACGCTGGTCAGACGTCTTCGAAAAAGTGGCAGTACCCACACTTTACCCCACCAAACGCGACCCGCCGATTGTCTTAAAAGAGTTCACCCATTCCTACTGCTGGGTGGAGAGAGGCGGTGGGGGATTCTAAAAACTGCACCGTTGTGTCAACTGCCGTGCCGGGAGATCGAACCGGCGACCTCTGGATTGCAAGTCCAGCGTGCCAAGCATTACACCACAGCAGCAGCGTCGCAAATAACGAACACATCTCACTTCAAATGAACACTTTGGCATAATGAGCAAAACATGCCGAGGGGGATGTCGCTGTTCTACCTGGTGCGCACAAGTAATCTCTGCAACACAAGAGAGCGGTGCGATTTACGATGAGATGCTGCCTTCAACGTCAGCGAAAACCTGCGGCCTTCGGGAGCCTTGGGCCGAGAAGGCCCCAGGAGTGATGCACAAATACAGATGATGAACTAAACAGCAACTCGGGTGCCTTTATTATTTGAGTTGCCAAAGAAGCAACAATTCATATATAACCAATAAAATACAGTGGCCCGAGGTCCCATCAGAAGTTCTGATCGAGACCCTCAAAAAAACAACCCCAAATATCACCCATCTGCTTCCATCCAAATGTCCTTATCTAAAATTTGCGTGCCCGGTTCAGGCACCGTCAAAAGGGTGGTGGCGTCGTTGCCACTCGGTGTGCATCATTCTGAAAGCAACGTGCAGTGTTATAAAACAGTAGTGTGAACACCAAGGAGTGTTTTAACCGAAGCCGGCACGCGATCCGATGAGCTCGGGTACCCGCGTTTAGGTTATCCAGTGATTTCGACCTTCAGCAAGCAAGTGCTCCGGCTTACACGCAATCCTCTACCTCTAGAAGATGATCATCACATTCTGCAGTGGGACCAAGTCGAAAAACTAAAGGCACCGTACGCTACAATATAGTTGGTCCAATAAAATATAAACACAACCAAAACCGACTTGAATCTTTGACCCCAACAGATCCCAGGACAATAACGGCCCCTCTCAACTTTCCGCGACAACTCAATCTATGGTCCCCCACAACCGCAAACTCTCGCCCTCCGAGTAACCACGGTGAGATGAGCGCCGCACTGCGGTCCCAGAGGTCACAATGAGGCTCTCCCCGAAGGAGGAGACAGCGGCATAGTCTGCGGTTGCTCCCCTCCGCCCTTCCGTCTCCCCCCCCCCCCCAGCCACCCCCCACAACGGCGGAGAGGGAAAAGGAGGGAGGGAGCGGGGGGTTTTTGGCAACAGGGAGATTTAGGCGTTGAGCAGCTCGTGGTCCGAGTCCGTGCGCCCCACGGCATCGGGGTTCCCGAGGGGGTCGAGGTCGGCGAAGAGGCTGAACCAGGCCGACATGTCTCGCGCCGCGGGCTTCTCACCTGGGTCAGACACGCACAGTGGGGTCGCACACAAACACAACGGGGTCACACAGTCACAGCGCCGGCCATGTGCGTGTTAGGGTTGGGAGAACGCGACTTTTTTTATGCATTCGCACCGCGGCTCTATTAAAATGTTGAGTTTCTCATTCAGCTGCGGGGAATTAATATTTATTGATTTCTACCTACATCACTTTACCGAAAGAACCAAAGAGTGAGATTTCCATTCAACTCGTTGGAATCTTTGGTGTTAAAATGAGCACGCCAGTTTGCATGAGGCCAGCGTCGGGTGGCACACCTAAGCGTCGGCATGAAAAGCGCGTAAGAAAGATGGTTGTATTATTAATTTATATTTTAACAAACCACGCGGCAGAAAAACACTCAACGCTGCTTTTCCTTCTGATAACACATTACACTCGAGCCTCCTCCCGTGTCAAGGACAGTCAGGCGCCCACTCCATCCTCCCACAGCGGCTGTAATTTTATCCCGGCACTGCACGGTGGGCATCGCTCAATTCCCCCACGCCACGTTTCCATTCCTCAGTGTGTCGAGGAGCGTGCTTAACGCACACACACACCCCTCACCGCACACACACACACACACAGACTGCCACACACAGACAACGCCACACGTACAAAGACAAAGATCCCCCGTATAGCCTGAACAGACTGTTGGGGCAAGTGCTGTTAGCGAGCACCTATGAAGGCCAGAACGGCACACGAGGGGGTGGGTGGTCAGCACCACGCCCGGCCTTTGTCTCCCTAGTGACAATGTTTTTACACATCACACCAGGTACTCATTTGAGGCTGAGTCGATCTACGGAAGGCCCAGGACAGGTTCAGAAAATCGTCACTGATGTTGGGCGTGAGTGGGAATCAAACTCTGGTTGTCAGGTTCGTAGCGCAGCGTGAAAACCGCTACACTACCACTCCCCATAAACACACCATCACACACACACACACGCACTGCCACACGTACACACACCGCCACACACACACTACCACACACACACCACCACACACACACCACCACACACACACCACCACACACACACCACCATCACATACACACCACCACACGCAGACCTCACATTTCGCTGAATGCGAAATCGTCCAGGATTATTATTTCT